AGAGAGAGAGAGAGAGAGAGAGAGAGAGAGAGAGAGAGAGAGAGAGATGTTAGATAATTATTTTGGGGTGGAACTAGAATTTGTTCATTTGGGGAAACATAAGCGTTTATGGAGCTTTACCCATACAAAAGACTAACAGTAAGGATATCGCTGAATGAGTTTTGACCATTCTTTATATCTGTCACTAATGAGTCCCCTAACTTTATGGAAGTGCACTAATAAAACACTGGAGTGCACTTCTAGGATGTAGAACAGCATGTTTGATATGCTGACTGACCCCTCTCCATATGAATTATGGGGACTGCACACTGATGGAACAATAATGAAAACAGAGGCTCAGGTCTGTGCCAGACATGTAAAATGATGCCCCAGCTCATCTGTATTCCAAAGTAGATTAATCGTACAAAGGTAAAGAAGCTTTTATTCTTTCATCACTTTCTTTCAAACCCTCTCTCACCTTTTTTCTCTCTGCCTCTCCTCTCCTTCTCTCTCACTTTCTCTCTGTCTCCGTCAGACACTGGGAGGCTTTGACTTTGATTAATGGTGAGCCAAGCTCTGCATTAAAAGCCATGGGCAGCGAGTGGGGCCAGATAAAAGTGGAGCACAGGAGCAAGGGATGGGAGGGATGGAGGGAGGAGAGAGAGAGGAGTGCAGGACACAGTCACCAATCACTGTCAGCATCATCGTCCCAGGGTGACAGTGGGGGACGCAATGGAGGGGACAGTGGTGCTTCATTGGGCTGAACCTCACCCTGACACAGGCACAGCACATTGTCTCTGACAGTCTCTTCCCACATAGGCTACGAGGACACACAGAGACACATTCTGAACATGTGCACACGCTCTTCTCTCTCCTGCTTTTCCTCTCAAACACGGTCACTGTGTGTCCAGTGGGACACGGCAGTGAGAAAAGTTTTTCATATAGTCATAGGCAGTGTTGTGAGAATTTGTGTTGGAAAGGTAGAATTTAGAAGAAATCAATCCAGAATTTACACTTGCTAGCCTAATATGTCCTATTAAATTGCCATTGTATGAAACTTCATTAAGTTTGACATTGCGTTTGTGTTAGCTAGGGTTCGCTTTGCCTCAGCTGACAGTGATATATTCCCGTCTTTGTCATTTTCAGCTGGCATAGAAACTTTCGTAGCATTCACTAAGTTGTTGGTTAAAAGAACAAACATCGCATGAGTTGCGGGGGTTGCTCTGGCACAGGAAGATTTAAACCCACCCACAACGCTCTGATTGACTCGGTTGTTTCTCCAAATTGGGTTAAAAGCCCTCAATAAACACAACCCCAGACCTTTTTGAATTTCCGAAAAGAAACCTGAGATGTGGGCCGTGATTCATAGGTCTCAACCCAGGCTATATACACTAGCAAAGGTTTAATCACTAGATGCTTTGAAACATACAAAAAGAAATTATCTGGTAAAAAATGTATGTTATTCTGTCTGTGCGCCTGAATGCACGAATTGAGTTGGGACCAGGACTCGGGTCTGGGGCTGTGGTAATACCTCTCCTTCTCAGTCCCTTTTTTCCCCTGCAGGAATTTCTGTGTGGAGTGCCCCTCCCCTGGGTCTGTCAGGAACAGTGTGTGCCTGTGGCCGGTAATTGATAATGCGGCCCAGGCAGCCCTGGCCCTGGTCAGTGGAGCGTGAACCAGCCTGAGAGGCAGAGAGGCTGAAGTGCACCGAGGTGAAGCTTAGCCCTCACACTCTCAGTCTAGGGTGAGAGAAGGAGAGGGAGGGAGGGAGGGAGGGAAAGCAGGAGGTGAGAGCCAAGGGAGGCATGTAACAGAATCCATTTGCAGTGACAAGATAAACGGAGCTCATTCATTTGTTTACAGTTATATTTTAGGTAATCATCTGAAACTTAAATCACCTACTTCCCCAAATCACAGATGTAGAATAAGCCGTCTTTTGTACAGAACACAATTTACAACAACAACCCCACTGAGTGAGAAGTTCGGGGGCTTTTCTCCTCACAGAACTCCTTTGACCATCGAGTGGTTATTCTGGGGTGAAGTACAACGAGAGGAAAATAATTAGAATAAGCATTAAGGAGTCTAATGGAAAAAAAAAAAAAGATCATTTAGCGGTGAGAGGGTGCTATTTGCAGCCTTTTGAATCGAGGAGTTACTCACAAAATGGTGGAGTGGAGTGGGAGACCAGGTGGAGCGATGACTAGGCCTCAGCAGCGAGCAGGCCGAGAGCCAAGAGGATGATGGGCACAAAATGAAGAGCATGGGCTTGTGTTGGGCTGTATTTATTCCTGCAGACATGGGGGTGGAGATTCGCTTCCAGCTCTGTATACAAGCACGAGGACTTTGAACTTAATACGAGCAGAATCAGTTTTCAATCAAACTTACTTGTACGTTCACAAGCTGTTTTGATGAGTATGTTTGGTTGGATTCATATTTGAACTTTGAAAGTAAATTAGTTTATCTTAGCACCTTGGAAGAGTTTGTGATCATACAGTAGATTTTGGGGCACATTCACATGGCATTAAAGAGATTAATTTGTACATAAAAGCTAAGTAATTTGTATTTTTGTTTTGTAAACTTTATTTATGTCTGTTTCTATGTTAGATTGATTTATTCATAATAAGTATTCTACCAAAAGAACCTGAAACCAGCAAGCAATAATCAAATTTAAATCATTTAAAAAAAAACATCCTACACTCAAAAATGAATCTGCTTCATCAGGACTGTGCATGCGATTTGATCAGTTTATATTAGTGCTGGCAACATGATTAAACAGCTGTGCAACTGTCATCAAATTCTGATTCAAATGTTGCTCTGCACTGATTGGTGTATGCAAGTACGAGCCATGACAATTTCTTTCAACCGAGCCCGTCCACCTCAAACCGGTGAGAAGAGCAGAGAGGAAAACACAATACAGAAATCTCTGGAGTGCAATAACTACACCTGTTATATTAAATATCGTGTTCATGTAGGACCAAACCATTTAAAGTAAGAAGATGATGAAGAAATATCTTTGCAGGGCCTTAAATCCACTGGAAAATCCTCTGCTACACAGCAAATTTAACAAAAATTGAACAGTGGGTTTGTTTAGAACAAATAGAGGAAAACAAAACATGACAATTAGCATAACCATTGAAAAGACAAAATACACCCAAAACCTTTTACTTGATTATCAGGGATCAAAATGAACCCTGGGAAGTGTATGATAGTATGAACTGTGCAGATGTTTAAAAACTCACTCACCAGCTACCGCCCAAGCAAACACTGTCTGTGACATTTAGAAACATATCAGTGAGCCCCTAGATTACACATATTAACACAACAAATAGATGCAGAAAAAGTGAATATCAGCACCGGGGAAATATACTTTTACCTCTCAGAGGAGACATTCTGAGCTACCCTGATGCAACTGACAGCAGGGACAAGATATCCGCAGATTTGTTAAATGTCAACAGTGTGGAAATCTGCCACGGTATCATAGCAAAAAGACAGGGGGATGGACTCTGCAATGGCATGTGATACCTATTCTGATGGTAAATTAAGCTCTTATTACAGACCTGTAGTCCAGATAACAGATAAGAAGCTCATCAGATGCTGCCCTTGTTCAGACGTAGGTCTTGTTACATCTGAGTAATAAATATCCAGTGTTTCAACAGGGTGTGGTATTTGTGACTTCAGTCAGTAAAGGCAGTTCTGCTCAGGCTTCTGTCTAACTGAAATTTAAAGATGTGAAATCATACACAGAAACAAAGCGCTCACACAATCAATTTTGTGTCGTTTTTATCGAGTGATGTCTGGATCAGCAAATCAGATAAACCACTCCCCTTCATGTTAGATTTGCTCATTTCATTTTAACGTACATTCCTGAACATGTCTAACCGAATGGCTCCTGAATGAGAGCAATTTAATTTGACCCTCTACATGCTATTCTGATTAATACATTTCTGTGGCACTGGGCATTATACTGTTAAATTCGATGCATGTATTCTAGGTAATTTTACTGGTGCACAATCATGGTATAACTGTAACACAAAAGTCCAGCTAAGCTATTTCTGTGGCCGCATAAATTACTTTAAACATTAGAGAATGACTTATATTAAGACATCATTGTCTAGAAATATGTAATGACTTGTTTTCTTTCCTGCCATAATACAATTTTACAAAAACCAATGGCGATTATTATTAGACATTACTACGTCATGTTGATTTGTATTACCATATGTAGGCCTTTGGAACTTAATTCCTGCATCCCATGCATCCTGAGGATGCCACACTTAGTACTCTTATAATCTGCCCAAGTAGCCAAAATGATTCAGTCCAAAAGCGGACTAAATCCTACATGATTGGTTGCTGGACTCACGCCGGACTCGTGGTGACTGACCATTCTAGCGCAAAGGTAGCCGGAGTCCTTCTAACTAGAGCTGACACTCAGCCCAAGTCCACACCCTCAAATCTTTCCCAAATCTGGCAGCCTTATTTTGGCCAAAGCCAGCACATATTTGGTCCTGCAGTGCCAGAATATGGCTGAGTGATTGGCTCTGCTGGCTACCTGGGTACTGATGAGAATGGCAGTTGTTTAAACTCGGATTCTGTGCTGATTACTGATACCTAATAATAGTTCGTTCTGGGTACACACATTGGATGATATGTATTGCAGTTGTGCACTAATTGTAGAATGTGCACTGTCATCCTTGGAAGTCTTAGCGTGGATAATGTACCAACTATAACTAGCTGTCATAAAACATAGCCTGCTTGTTGTATATGGCTGGGTGTTTTTCTTTACCAACAGTTTGGTTTGGTATATCTATTATAATCAATGCTTTTCTAGAAATGTATTGATTTTGTGTTACTCTCTCTGTCCCCTACAGCTCCCTCCATAGTTCCCATCATGCACCAGATCAGCTCCACAATGAATAGCTTCACACTGTCTTGGCCACAACCAGAACAGCCCAATGGCATTATTCTGGACTATGAACTGCGCTACTACGAAAAGGTAAGATAAGTGTGTGTGTTTGTAAATGCATGAATTTACATGTTTATCTCCTATCCATATACAGTATACTGTAAGTCTATATTTATTTGTGTGAAGTGCCAGCTCTTGTGTTGTCTCCTACTCTGCACATGCATAGCAAACTGCATGTAAAGCACCCCGAGACTCCCCTGGGTTGATAATATGTTCTTTCACTGTGTTCACTCCATCTCTCCCACTGTTCCTTGGTTTCTGCTGCTGATGAAGTAAATAGGTTGACCTCTGCTCCAGGCCCACTCTGCACACTGCAGCAACTTGTCCTGCTGTGAAAATGCATTGCTTCTGGGGGGGGGGGGTCACATCGACCCGTCTACTCACACACAATATGTCTGCTTTATTAAGTCGCTGGCCCTACCCCACAGCGCAACTGCTGCTCCAGTATTGACCTGTAGGCTTTTCCCAAGGCCTTGGACATAATCGGAGACTCTAGCTTTTTGTTTGGGCCCTTGTTTGTCCTCCTAAAGCTGATCGATAGTATAGCAAGGTTGGTCATGCACTTTTTTTTTCCACACGTCTTTGTCATCTTAAGCTAAGGCTTTTGTTGTTGCACCTTCACCCATGTTCTGCTCCCCAAGTAAAAGACAAAAATCAATATAGTTTTATAAATGTTTTTCTTTTTCTGTTGAGTTATTTATTTCCCACAAACTCATTTTGGCTAAGGTTCCGTGGATCAATATTCACAGCTCCACCTTAGAATAGTATTTGTCACATTTAGCATTTTCTATCAGGGAGAACAACAATCGTGTTTTTAAATTATGTTTGCAGTTGGAAACTCAGTTATCCAATAATAGCTGCATTGCTTGCTGTTTCCCCCTCTGGCATTGCACAGGTCATGAAATTGAATCCGATTGCCATTGCCTTGAGAAACCTTATCTGCCAGACAGCTTAGTGTCGTGTAAATAACACTCATACAGCCTCCCATTAGCTCATGAATATCAATGAAACCAAATCCTGTTGATGTTTACGTAGCATGCCTTCTCACAAAAAGATGAGCACGGCGTAATCACAAATTACTGAATTAACAAGGACAAGATTGCTAATTGCACTGGGATGATTCAGGTGACAGAAAGGCTGCGCTTTACGCTGTCTACCTCTGTCTCAATGTACCTTTCTATCACCCTGTACGTGTGTCTATCTAGAAGATGTACCACCATGTGAGTTTGAGTAAGACACATAAGATGAGTCAGAGTGATTGCTTTGTTACACCAGGCTGTGGAGATGAGATTGCCACATTGGCGGTCCTCCCTTGACACTCTGTAGTTTGGATCTGACAAGGCTTTTTATAGGCACTAAACATACTTTCCCTCAGCCAGCCACTGCTGTCCAAAGTGCCACTGCTGATGTGTTTTTGTGCCTGATTAAGCAGCAACCCTCAGAAGCAGAAAAACAACAGAACAGATGGTGGCAAATCTAATGCCATGTGTGTCATTTCCATACCAGTTGAAATGTATTACACGCATGCATGATGAAAAGTCGGCATAAATTCTCAGTGTCACACATGTTGGCTCGGGTTGCTGTACAGGCATGTTTAACCTCATTGTTGCATATATTGAGAAGCCGGGAACTAAATTGCATTCCTTCGAGGTCAGTCCTGCCAGCTCTCCATTGATTCTCTGAATGCTTGAAAATCTGGAAGTTTCATGCAGCCGTAAAGTGATGATGTGGACTTTTAGTCATAAATGGCAATTATGGAGGGATGCCTCTCACCATATCTATCACAGACTCCCAGCTTTACCCATTGCTATGTGTAACTTATAAAATATATAATGGCCTCTCTATTCTCACCTTCTTTTTTATGCATCTCACTGATGCTTGCATTAATCTGAGAGCAGTCACACTGTTATGGTTCTGGAGTTGATTGTCTCAGCGTGCCTGGCACAGTCCGCTAGTCTTTAGCACAGCAGAGAGCTTTCTCTCTACAAACTCTTAACAGGAAGCTCCCTATACCCATTTACAAGAGCCACTTCTCCAGCAGCACAGCATTGTCACACTCTGCATTGAGTAATACCTCGGGGTAATCATAAAATAACATTCAACTCTTTGTCTTTTTACAACCTTTGCTTAATGTTGTAGTTTTACCCATCAACCTGATAATATATTTTGCACAACTATTATTCTAGACGCACATTTTTTCATACAAAATTTAAGTAATTTTGTATTTTTCTTAAGGCTTTTGTTGTGGCTTGATTTGACAGTTCACAGTAAAGAGTAAGTAATAAAATATGAAGTTGTCCTGGGATCAAGGTCCACTGATAGTTTTGAACTATGGACTTTGTGCTTACATGGTTGTGTGATCGGGCACCCTATTAGGGCGTAAGCATGGATGTATTAAGAAGAACTGGATGCCATGTTTCAAGATATTCACTCTAACAAATGTTGTTCACCAGGCACATCCAGGACGTACACATGAATGGCACAAAAATATTGTCGTTAATACAGCTTTCTTATTTGGGCCAGTGTTTATCACATGACCTGCAATTCCATCGGTGGCCACTACCCTAAAAAAGCTCTGTTCCTTGACACAACACAACAGCCCTTTTGCAAGAGGCTGCATGTTATTTAAGGTACCATTGAGATAAAGCGATACAATCCAAGTAGTCTAGTTTGAGTAACAGTGTAAGGTGTTTAAAGGCTTATCAGAGTCGAAACATCTGTTAGCTTGTGATGACCCCCTCCTCTCTCTCTCTCTCTCTCTCTCTCTCTCTCTCTCTCTCTCTCTCTCATTTTACGACCACAAAAAGCAAGTATTGTTTATCGATCTCCTCTAATACTTTCAATACTGCTGACAGCGCTGCACACGCATCCTTTACACACAACATACAGTGCTGTCCATGTTTCCAAAACAAAATTGTTGACAAATAGTGCACATGGTAGGATAATGTCAAATTGCACCGCAGCAGTCAGTGGGAGTGGGAGATGGTGACCTGTATCGTTTGGCTCTTTTTACATACAAGTCTTGCATCAACAAAAAAAACTGATGAAATTCAGGCTTTTATTCATAAATATAATCAATCAGTTTTCAAAAGTTACCCGGGTTCCCCCTTACAAACCTGCTTCCGCGGCCTATGACATGACGAAGAGGGATGGTAATGATTTAAATAGAATGCATTTTGACAGTTTCACCTGAAAGCTGTAGTGAGTGCTGAAGGCTGTTCTCTCAATGGGCTTCACACCCTTTTTCAACCCACCATCTCATTGCAGAGTAAGTGGTCCTGGGACTCCGTAAATTGGGAAGCAAGACGAAGTAAATTAAAGATTTTCAGAGGAAAAAGTAGAATCCCATGCTCCCGGTCTCTCCATTTTTCTCATACCATTTTTCCTCTGGTTGCCTGAAAATTTGGGGAGGGTGGAAATAACTCAGCATAGCGGAGGTCAGGCCTTCCATTAAGGCTGGAGCAGAGCAGCCACTGGCTCTGAGTGCTGATGGCTCTGTGTGTATTGGTGTCAGAGGGAGGATGTGTGCATGTGTGCGGGAGCTTCTGTCAGTGTTTGTGTGTGGGTGTCAGCAGTATTTCAGGTGCATCCATTCTGGATGACAGCAGTACTGTCATGCTGCAATGTGAGGAATTCAAGAATCAAATACAAGTTTACAGCATGTCACCAGGATCTGCAGCACACTGACCATAGCACCATCTGCATTTTTGGCACTCTAAAACCCCCCCTTGTGCTTTACATACATTAGCAATTCCTCAGAAGAGAAGCCAGGAGTAAGTATTTATTCTTCTTCTCTACCTGCCAGCCTTCAGAGTCGACCACAGCACTTTTGTATACGCACACAGATGTTGTAAAGACATGTTTAGATTTTTAATGGAACCCATGAAAGGCAGTACTTGTGCATCACTCCCTCCGTCCCCTGCAAGGGTATTCACATTTCCTCCCTCTGACTCCATTCTTCTCTCCCTCTGTTTGCCCCCAACCCCGCTCACTCGGGCCTCTTTCTTAGTCTCCAGGTGAACGAAATGCATTCAAAGAGCCATCTAACAAGGAGGTGGCTGAAAGAAGTAAATAGAAAAACTAACTGAAAGCACTGAGGCAAATACATTTGACTTCAAATGATACCTTAGATAAGGTGATCTCATCTCTCTCGTAGTATGCTCACTAATGTTTAGCATGTAGCTTTGCAGAATTAATTTTGTTGCCATGTGGTGATATCGTTTGTTTTTGCATTATTTTAGTTTCTTTATTTCCCAAAACGATTAACAGTCTTGAATGGTCTTTAATATCAGATATTATTTCCATTTAAACTTACTACCATTTTTTTAGATTAGAATTCTTGAGGCAATGGTAATTATTTGCATTTGGTAATAAAACCCATCTAGTCCCTGAGATTTAAATTGTTAGCCCATATCTCTCCCCCTTTCTTTTCTTTTTGCCTTTTGACCGTAAGGCAATACATTTTAATTTGAACATTAATGGGGGATGTCACTTATTTCTTTCATTTCCAATTTACAAACATAATAGTAGAATGTTCTACCTCAAACACTCCCCTCACCCCTTTCTATTTGTGCATTTGTGCATGTGTGTGAGCATGTGCAGAGGAGACATGGTATCCACAATGACTGTCTTTGTGCCAGGTGGGCATGCTGTCCACACATGCACACACACAAACACACACACGCACATGTCATATAAAGTCAGGTTTATTTTTATAGCCCAATAGAAATATCGTCAGTTACAAAAAATAAATTGGAAGTTTTAACAAGAAAAAAAATACAAGTATCGGACTTCCAGCAATATGTTTGTTATAGATCCAGTGCTAGCGTGTTACATCCAGTAAATTTAGTCAATCCTTTAAAATGGGTCCGATTAAATATGTCAACATCAGCCCAGTATCTGTTGTCAATGTGGTTCCAAGTAGGTAGGTAGTTTGAGTATGTTATTGTACATCTTTTGTCTATAAACAATATGTATTAGGAAGAGCAAGGCTAAGTTTGTGTCAGTGATTTTACTGAATGCTGCAAAGACCAAACTCCCCGCGGCGCTTCCTGTCTGTCACTCCTGGCAATGCTTTTGATTGGCTGCTCTGCCATCTGCCTTCCCACCTGAAACTCTGTCTTTATTTAGCAAGTGAGGGTGTGGTCCTCATAATCCTCATTTGACTGGCAGCAGGAGAGGACCTCTGGTGGCTGGAAGTCCCTCCTGGCATGGCCTTTTATTGGCTATCCCCGAACCTGCTGGAGTGCCAAATGCCACCTCATTTTATAAGTGGCAGATGTGGATGTGTGTGTGTGTATCTGTCTCATAATCCCTATTTGACTGGCAGCATGAAAGGGCCATTCCTAGCTGGTGCTCCCTCAAGGGATTCTCCCCCATTGGCTGATTGCCATCTGTATGCTCACCTCTTCTCCATACAAACTCAACAGATGGGGGGTGTGGTCCTGAGAAATACAGGAAGACTGATAGCAGCAATAGGCAATTCCGGACCCCAAGTGGTCCACTCATCCACAGATGAATAGGCGACTATGGCTCCAGTCTCTCACGGGGCTTCGTGTCTTCTGCAGCTCTTACAAACGTACAAGCTGCCTCTTTAAATTCCAGTTTCTGAATTTTAGAGTATTTGTATGCTGCACATTGCCGATATGATAGATTGTGTGATCTAATGGACAAAAGGTCTGTGAGATGATTAAACTCTCTAACCCAGTTACATCCAGCATTCCATTTATAAACATCGCTTTCCTCTCAGAGATAGAATGAAAGCCTGTTGGTGCGATGCTCTCCTATTCCAAGCCCAAACATTTGTCTTCATCAAGCCCAGAGTGTCCAATAAGAGCTAATGTGATAGCACAAATCATTATGTGGGGCTGCTCCGTCTGCTCAATGATGGAGCAACCGGAATGATTCAATTACACCAATCAGATTGGATAATGATTTCGATGTGGGTTGCTTCTGCCTGGAGTTTCTTATCGCTTCCTGCCATCATCTTCACCCCCCCCCCCCCCCTTTTGCTTCCTCATTGCATATCTACCTTTTCCACTCCACACTGTTGTCAACTCAGATTTGTTATTCATAGTTTCTCAGAGCGGCCATACATGTATTATAAGATGTAGTTCAGTATTCAATAGTGTGTTTACCAAGCTTTAAAAAACAGCCTGCCGCTATTTACACTGTTTTACTGACACAGGGAATTTTGCCCCTTCACTGTCAGCTGCCCCCCTCCCTCTCTACAGTATGACTGCATCTAGCTATCAGCAGCCTGCAGTGGTGGGTGTAGTGTAGGTGCAGTCTTATTTTCTGGCTGTCATATTCACTCTGGGTTATGGGAAGGTGACACGCCTGAGTAATTACTGATCCACCATATCAGATACCTCTAGCAAACCCCAAACTACACTGCAGCAGACTGCCTGACTGGCTCTCTTGAGCCAGGAGAGAGAAAGACAGAGATACGGGATCTGGAGATCAGGTTCCATGGTCATTTACATAATGTATGCTATACTATATGTATACATACATACATGCATGTGGAAATACAACTTATAGTTATTCAAATGCAAAACAGAGTATACGAAAAAAGGCAAATACCTAGATAGAATGTTAAAATAACCAGCAGTTGCACCAATCATTTTTATAGCATTCCCTTTCATGAAATGTGTTCTATTGGTGGAACTGGCCTTCCATCACATTTAAAAAGCAGCTTACTTGCCTCATAAAGCACGTCTGAAGAGACAAATATGTAATGCTATTCTATGACTGTTCAGAAGTAGCTATTGCTCTTTGTAATGTGCAAGAAATGATTGCCTTTAATTACTATATTGTGTAGGTGTGTTACTGTATGAATTGGACTTGCAGTCTGCATGTGTGAATGTTGGGCTTGTGTGTATTTTAATGTGTGACTACTTGCTGCAGTGTTGTGTATTCGAAGTTCAAACTGACCAAAGCCTTATTAATAACAAAAAATGGGCACTTAAGACCTAATTTTAAAGAGAGGTCATTACTCTGTCTTTAAAAAGTTAACTAAAGCTCCTTTATCTGATTTAGAACAACTACAATATACAGCCTAAACTGATTTCCTCCAAATTTGGTTCACTTGTTCCATACTATTTCCATACTACACACGATGAGTCTTTGTTGGCTCACTGTCAAACCCCTGCTACCACTGGACCTTGTTTTGCCGGTGTTTTCTCAACTGTGTGGTTAAACACCTTCCCGTTGACATCTTCGCTTGTAAGTCATCTCTAACCTGTTCCCCGTGTGTTCACTGCTCCTTTTAGGACCATGCAGAGATTAACTCCACCATCCTGCGAAGCCAAACTAACACTGCACGCGTGGAGGGCCTCAGGCCGGGTACAGTCTACGTGGTACAGGTGCGGGCAAGGACTGTGGCTGGCTTTGGCAAATACAGCAGCAAGATGTGCTTCCAAACCCTCACAGATGGTAAGGATTGTCGAGCCAGGAGAAACAGCTCTCTCTGTCTCTCCCTGTGCTTCTCCGTCTCTGTGTCGCACACACACACACGCACACACACCTGAACTCTTTCTTACACTCTTGTCACTCTTTGTATTTGTTGTTGCATTATTATTAGGTGAATTGGAGGGGAACTGTGATTCTGGATTGCACTTCTATTTCTACGGCTCAATTAATTTCAGGTTTCAATGTGTGTGTGTGTGTGGGTGCGTCGAATATGTAGAACTCCGAGTGTCTTTTGTTTGTGCTTCTAACTGTGCTTGATCCAAAATGCTTAGCTAATTAGTTTTTCACCCGGCCCTTCTGTTGCTGGAGAGCCGTCCCAGAATGCATAGCTGTGATTAGTAGTTGATGAGATTCATTTTTTGCCATGGGGGGGCTGGTTTGTTGGAGAGGGAAGGGGATGAAGAGGAGCTGTAACACCTGCTACACTGGCAAGGTTGTGGAACTAAGTTTATTAGTATAAGTGGAAGGAGGTGTGTGCGCAGGGTTGGTGGTAGCGGTGTTATTGTATATCACAGTAGTGCTCTTTCATAGGCAGTAATATCGGTGCTAAAATGAACAAAGCATGATTGGGTGTGGATGGATTCAACACATCACTGGATAACATTCAGAAGATTTGCCAAAGCGCATGCTTCACTGTGCCTTGCTGGACTACTTGACGACCATGCACGTGTGGCCATTGCTCAAAATATTAAAAAAAACCAACAAGAAAGACGTTTTCACATTGTGCTGCACTAATGAAGATGTTGATGATGAATGAGAGGGTGATGATCTTGAGGGAGGGGAAGATGGAATGATGATGAAGGTCATCATTGTGGCTATTTACAAGCACAGAGCAGATGTAGTGGCACCTTTGCATCACCCTCGCCCACAAATTATCTTTCTCTCCAACACACGAAGATGCACACGCGTTGCACCCGCTCGCACAAACACTGTTTACAGTTCATCCGTTGGCTCGCTGCCATAGCACGGCATTTGTCAAGGCAATTAGCAGCAGATGCTAGAGAACTGCTGACAATCACACCCACGGCTCCACCTCTGCAGGTTTCCCCCTTCCCCTGTCAAGCCGCTTCACTGCATCAGGAAGCGACCACCTCGCCACCCAACCGCTGCTCTCCCTCCAAGTCTTTTCTCAAAACACATAATCCCTTTTGTCTATCTGTCGGCACGTTTTCACGTGCCTCCAAAAGGTGTCTCTTTGCCACCTCTAGACACAAACACGCATACTCGCGAGCAGTGACAACTTCATTGACAGGTGTGATGAAAGAAAATGATTGGTCCATCAGTAGGGTTATTGATGTCACAATTCTCCAGTTCTCTAATAGGCTGAGGCTCTGATAACTAACTAATTGTAATCTGAGCCTATTTTCTTCTGGAGGTAGCTGTCAAATAGATGTCATATACAGTATATATACAAAAGAGAACAGGAAAACTGCCTGAAAACCTGAGAAACCGGAACATCATACACACTGTTTGCTTAAATAAATGTGCAAGTTAAAAGAGTGAGCAATTCCTGTCACATTGAGTTTCCTTATATATCCCAGCTCTCACACTGCTTCGAAAATGCATTAGTTCTCCCTTTATCAGTTTAATCCAATAGGCCCATTCTACACGGGGGATTGGATTTAGAAGCTGCTGATTTGCCTGCAGCATGCTAAATCCTGCATTGCTTTAACTGCAGTGTTTGCTGGTGCTAAAGTCGCGGGACGACAGGCACACCAAAAGATAACTGAAGATTCTGCTGTGTAGAGTTTTTCGGCAGGCGTTTAAGCTGTCCTCTGAACTGCCACCAACCGGCACATATGAACATAAAATATGTTTGCGCTACATGTGTGATTGGCAGTAGATTACTTCCTTTTCAACACCTGAGAAACAACATTCCAAGGGGCACTTTCTTGTCTGCTCGTCTCTGACAGGTAGTGCAGCGGAGAAGGCTGAGAGGCCGTCCCCGCTTTATTCTCACCTTCAGTTTTATGCTTCTCTGTCACTCTCTGTCTCTCTCCTGGTTTATCAAACACAACCTGTCAGTCAGTCTTTCTAAAGCTCACCGGATTTCAGTCAGTGCGGGCTCAGCAGAGAGATCTATATGTTTTCTCTATCCATCCGTACACCCAGTCTAACCATTCGGCTCGGCCTCTTCTTCTCTCCTTCTCTCCATTTACCTCCCAAACACGCACTCGCATACTCGCCTTCAAATAAACACAGTCTTACTTCTTAAGCTCTACCTAAGCCATACTCCATGTCTGTCCGTCTGCCTTTCTCTTTGTGTCACACAGATGACTTCAAGTCTGAGCTGAGGGAACAGCTTCCTCTGATTGCGGGGTCGGCGGCAGCAGGAGTGGTCTTTATTGTTTCCCTTGTTGCCATCTCCATCGTGTGCAGCAGGTAACCACATTTCCCCTCTCTGGTCTCTTGCAGTACATGCATAAACTGCTGCAACCTTATTGACTTCATTGCTACATTTGTCCCTGACAATTAAACTTGTAAAAAATGTAATTTAACTTATTTTTTCGCTCCCAATGTTTTCCCCTTTAGAAGAAAACAGCAGCAAATCTAGACCACTGTTGCTGTGTAATGACAGCATGTAGCTTCCTGTTGACCTGAAGCAAATATAAGGGGTTGACATAGAATCATGAATGCCATGCTTTGTAGTACAGAAGGACAGATGGCAACACCGCATGAAGATGTTCGTTCTACATCAGAATCTAACCATATATGACTGCTTTGCATAAAATACATTTTGTCAAAGTAAAAGTCAACAGTGATACATCTAAAAAATGTGTCTTAAAATGACATGGCATTCTTTGATACTGAAACTAATCCAGTACGGTATACTTTTGAGACATAGTCTAATACCAATATGGCCACATTTCCAGGTGAAACTTTGGAACGCACAGTTGCCTCCATAAGCACAGTTGCCTCCATAAACACAGCTGCCTCCATCAACTCATAGAGCATTTCATAATAGCAACCAAATTGACAGAAAGGAAAGCTAAGTTGACATATTTTTAATGGAATATTCCATTTCACAGAGAACCTAACAGCTCCTACTTTGCCCTGTTAAGTTGCTTAAGTCAAGCGAGTTTCATTTCGCAGCAGTTTGACACATTGTCATATTCCTATCTTGCTCAGCTTTAAATATATGAAAGTCGAATTTTCTGCAGTGCTGTGTGCAACTCTGAGCAAGTAAAGTGTTCATCAAATAGGCCAGGCTCTTTTGATGCTGAGGCAGAAGAGACACATGAAAAGCAGAGAGATCCTATCGAGGTCTAATTAAAAATCAGCTCATTTTCATAAACTTCATTTGCCATCGCTAACCCTCTGCAACTGATTCAATTCCAGCCACGTCATTTTCAGGCCATACAGCGAAACATGAAGAGTAATAAGGCCTCGTTTACACTTCCTTTCATCCTGTCGTTTCTCTCTCTTCTCTCTCAACATTCATTGATCCCTTAGGAAAAGGGCATACACCAAGGAGGCGGTGTACAGTGACAAGTTGCAACATTACAGCACAGGAAGAGGTGAGTCCATCCTAATGCTTAAAGCCCACTTTATAAGTAAGTGGTTTTAGGTGTTCTCCAAAAATCTTGGGTGCTATCAGGCAATTACAATGATTGTCTCTTACTGTGTATATTTTGATGCAGATCCAGTTAAAAGCTTTCGAAACAAAAATCCGAGGATTGTGCTGCGCAGGTCGAGATATCTCTTTCCTGATTGTCCTCGTATCATTGATATTTGCTACATTTCCCTTTGTCCAGTCCTCTGCTTCTGTCACATTATGTATTGTATAGGAAATGTAGGTAAAGCACGCAATCTTTTATAATACATTAATGAAAATGAAGTGAGGTGAAAGAGAAATGACCTGAGGTAGCAGGCATCTGTGGATGTAAATGACATGTTCCTTCCTTTAAACAATGACACTAACTTACAGTCATCTCTCAGGGCTTTTATAAGAGCTGTGATTTAGTCATGTTTCAACCCCCCCTCCCCCCCCGGCACCGACTGATGAGGGGAAGGAGCCTGGAGGGACACACATATATAAACTTCCACACGCACACTCACACACATACACACAAAAGGGTGTGTATGAGATTTGTACCTCAAATAAAAGCCCTATGTACTGCCGACCTAGCCGTCTGAAAAGGGGGCTCACTCGAGGGGATAGAGTTTTGTTGAGCCTGGCACAGCAAAGCATTTCAGCACAGTTACTTTGTGTCAAAGCTACAGCAGCGTTATCCGGGGGCTCATTAAACCCAGGCAGAAGAGTGGGTTTTTTGTCACTGGCTATCTTTGGGGTAACCAAATGCAATTAACATGAGTGGTGAAAATAAACAAAAGATCAGAGTCACTTGCAGCCCTAATCATAAAAAGCGTGGAGAGGAACTAAAATGCTGATAAGGGATCCTATTCATAAGTTTATTCTTTCAACCTTCACACTGCCAACACTCATGAAGTAATCCCCCACCCCATGATTCATTATTGTCTTCTATTCTCTCAAGATTTGACTGGCAGTTTTGTAATTACAGTATTCAACACAACAATTAAATAGCGCAGCTCAGCCAATTGTTTATGGTGAATTCGCCCGGAGAATGCGTTGCCGGCTTTCACCCGGCTGCTGACTGTTCCAGCTGTTGCCATACACCTTAGATGATACCTCCTCATTCCCAGCCCACCTATCGTGACAGGCGTCAAAAGGGGGGGATGGTGCTCATACTGTAAATTCAGTAGTGCAGCGCGGTGTGGTCATGGTTGTGAAAATGAGACCGCTAACATTACACCAAACGCTGGGTGGGATGTCATGACAAGCAGATTGGAACACAAAGCATGAGCACACACATTATTCCCACACATGAATCAAGTGCTGCTTATGTGGGTCTAAGGGTTTCTGTTTTGTTTTAATAGCACACGGTATCATCAGCGTTCATACCAACATGTTATACTCACCTCACTGCATCAGAGCATATACATTTATTCTCATCTCTTCCCTGTTATTCTTTTCCACACACAAACAACCTGTCAACCCCAGCTAATTAACAGACATGGATTTTTCTTAGATCTGCATGTTTACTGTATGCCCTAATGCTTCTCTGCATATGAACACCAACACATCCTTAAATCACTAATGTTCGAACTGCGTTTGTCGCTTTGGAGCTTCAGCTGTTGTTTGTACTTCAGCATCTTGTGCTAACACTGACTGAGGATTGGGATTTGGAAGCCCATTTAACAAATCTAGTTGTTAGATGCCAAATATGTTTATACTTCAGTTGCTTCGTTTTTCTTGCAGCAGCATACTGCATTCGTACATGTGGATTCAGTGAGTATAGGCTAAGGCATGAACGGAATTGGTGAGCAGCAGTAGAATACTGTGACACTTCAACATCCTGAGTATTACAGGTCAAACCACATTCCTGATAAACCCAAACTGACATCTATACAAATGTGATTGTTCATCCCATACCATCTTTAGATCCCCTCTGTGATTTCCTGCAAGCTGCAGAAGCTGCAGTGTGAGTCTGACAAATGATTTACTGACATCAAACGATGGATAATTAGTTTGTGTTTAGAAAATAAACTCATTACACTCACAAAGCCACAGAATAGATTAGTGTGCCATCTCGCGCCAACGTAAAATGGGACTGTTTTCACTATAGGTGTACACAGTGTCCTGCAATTGTGCATGTTAGTTTTTCAAAGTGGATAATCACTTAAAACGTATAATTACTATCCACTGAAATTGCTAAATTACAAATATTGTCAGGGAAAAGGAGTGAGAAGATATCATGTTTCTTTGGTAAAAGATTAACATATTAAATAATTAATTTAACTAAAAAAGATGAGCATTATTGAAGCTACAGTTTCACTTACATGACATTGCTGTTTGTCTTTAGGCAATAAGAACATTCTGTGCACCAGTGATTTGATTGTACCCATTGCCAGTAATAGATTAATGTTAGCATTACTGCCTTAAGGTTGATTTGTGGATACATTAGGGCCATTCAGTAAACGACCAGGGCAGACTAATAACAGGGTAAATGCTGGACATTGGTGAAAATAACATGGATAAGTGCAGTGCAGTAAACTGTAATTCATAATTAAGGTCAACTAAATACCTTTAACTGTTTTAGAAATCGTGTCATAGCTCAAGGATTTTGTTTGGGTTTATAATCCAAATTCATTAAATTTATGAGTTTGTCCATTTGTCTCATTTATGTTAAATGCGGCCTTGTAATTGAAAAAGGTATGAAGCAATGGTATGTGTTATATGCCCATGAGTCATTGCAGCAGTCATGCATTCTCTCTCGACATGCTTGCTGTTTTTTATGTTGGATAAAAATAGAAGTGACATTTTGGATACATTTGCTTCATACACTCAAATGAAGGAACTATGAAATATTAATAAAGCATCAATCTATTTTTTATCTGATGGCCATAAAAAGATGAGTCCAGTTAGCCAGGGCTGCACCAGAAGGAGGGAGGGAGAGAGATAAATTGTTTTCATTTTAAATTATATACAGTATGAAGGTGGGCTCTGGACTGTGAATTAGAAAGTAATGGGTGTACGTATATGGACGTGTGTGCGTGACATTTTAAGCGCATGTGTTCACATTTATTTATTTATTTTGTATGGCTCCCTGCTGAGATTTTGAGTTCCCACCCAGTGGTGCTATGTGAGCATTTTATGTAATGCAAAGCTATAAACCCTCCGATGGATTAACTTGAATCCAATCTGTATGGAATCTCTAATGAGCAATTACATTTACACAGATAGGGTTCAAGGCAATTAGTGTGCCGACTAGAATCAGCTTCTAGTCAAGAGCGAGGTGAGGCACCTTGAGCCCTCCAAGACCAGACCTTATCCTCCTCATGTCTCCTGAGACCCCTCCCACTCTCTATGTGGCTTATGCAAATGAGCAGGCACAAATTGACATGATGGAGATGGGTTTATTCCAATCATGGCTGCCAGGGTTTTGACTAAACAGCTTTGAGAAAGAGGGCTGCCCTTGGGTGTCACTGCAGAAATGATGATTTGACGTCTGCTTGCTCGCCGTAATGCCGTCTTGTGGCAGCGTGTATTGAATTTGTTTACAAGTGTTTTTCGCCACTTCTCCCCACCCGGCCTGTCAACACTGACAATCTCTCCTCCGTTTGCAGACATCTCCAGTCTGTGAACTGAGTCACCTCTTGCAAACATCATAAAGAGCTAGTTGATAGCGCAGTGGTTTTATCTCTTTATGAGCTCCCACAGGGAAAGGCTCGGGGGAAATTGGTTCTACCACTATCAAAGAGCAGAGACTGCTAGTCTAAAGGATAAAAGGGTGAAGGGTGATCATTTGTCTACATTTAGATTTTCTATATACCCTCATCCCTTTATCTTTCTTTCTGTTTCTTTTCTGGTGTATTTCGCCATTCCAAGTACTGAATCCTCAAACCACCATTTTGTTGTCTGTTCTACTCGCAACTGAGGCCTGTCTCTCAGGAGGACAATAGGGCAAATGGAGTTATCATCATTTACAACTGCTAAGAGCTTGTAGTGATTGTAAGTAATGCTGTGTCACACTGTGATTTAGCCTACAAATTGAAAGGCAATTGTATTCATCAGTTCTTAACACTAGACATTGGCCTAACAAAAAAAAAGAACGGTGTCTTTTTTTCTGGAAAGCTCATTGAGCACTTTGGTTGTTCTAGAACTCTCTTTGCGAGCCGACATGTCTAACTGCCCCTCCCCACTGGGCTGCCCGACCCACTTCTCAGGCTCCCCGGGGATGAAGATCTACATCGATCCCTTTACCTACGAAGACCCCAACGAAGCTGTGCGAGAATTCGCCAAGGAGATTGACGTCTCCACTGTCAAGATTGAGGAGGTCATCGGTGCAGGTATGGAGAATGGAATGGGTGCTATGGAACAATCTGTGTGTGTGTGTGTGTCTGTGTGTGTGTGTACACACACTTATGTGTGGAGGTGTCCGCAAGGTGAATGTGGATTGCTATATTTTCATGTGTTTCTGCATGTAACATGCGAATATCTGTGTGCTTGTTTAGCCTGCATCTGTTCAAGGTCGTAAAGCACAGCCCCTTTGGCTGCCACATCAGATGGGAACACGTCAAGGGCCTATGTCAAGTGCACTAGCAGCATATAGGCCAGCTACCTTGGGACCTAATGGCATTAGAAATAACTCACGCCTTGCAGCCTATTCCCTGTGCTTCTCTGTTTTTGGAGCCTAGTGTTAGTCTCGTACATGTTCTGGCTTGACCCTTTCATTAACCTTACATGTAAAATAGGTGGAGATATTTTATGTCATTTCCTTATTCAATGTGAAATTGTCTGTTAAAAATGATGAGCTGCTTATTCGGGGCTGATTGCTTCTTTAGTACATTCTGAGCATCTGGAGGTTAAAATAACATCAGCTTGATATGTCCATGTGTCTCCAGCATGTCTTTTTCCTACAGACAGGGCACACCTTCAATTTTTTTTGACAACAGGAAGGGCATGCTGATACCATATGTTTTGGTTCATTTAGAGGTAAAAATACACCTGGTAATGAGACTGGGCTTGGAATAGATCCTGTGGACCGGCCTACTCAGCAAGCTAGGTGTGAGGAAGTGACAGAGATAGGATAGGGGTAAGGATGCAAGGGGACTAACTAATTAAAGATTTCCGTTTCTGTTGATTTCACTGTGTGGTGTCTCTGCAGGGCACTAAGGTGGTGATAATTAATCAAACAGATACCAGATATTTACCAGATAGTGCTTGCCTGTTATTCTTTCATTGGGGAACACAAAGACACTTGGCTGCCTTTTAGGATTGATAAATAGTGGGAGTCAGAAGAGCGACACTGTTAGGAATATCATGAAGGAGCAACACTAGAGGAGTATTGGACAACACTCAGCATGCTTGATATAGATTAAATAAAGATCTATAATATCTGCCAAGAGACTTGAGATGTAAATAAGCTTGATAAATGAATAGAGTTAGATCTCATCAACTCTACTAATCTTTAGTGTGATCACTTTTTCATCAGACAAAAGTGGATCAGTTCTCGTTTTTTGACAGAGCAACCACTGTGCACCTCTCCCTATTTCCCCTCTAGGTGAATTTGGGGAGGTGTACAAAGGCCGTTTGAAGCTGCCCGGTAAGCGGGAGATCTATGTAGCTATCAAGACCCTCAAGGCGGGCTACGTGGAGAAACAGAGGCGCGACTTCCTGTCTGAGGCGTCAATCATGGGCCAGTTCGATCACCCAAACATTATCCGTCTGGAGGGTGTGGTCACAAAGAGTCGTCCAGTCATGATCGTCACAGAGTTTATGGAGAATGGTGCCCTTGACTCATTCCTCAGGGTGAGTAATTTGTGTGAACTCATAAATGTACTATGTATACAAAGTTGCAAACATTTATATGGAATGATGAAAAGTAATATTCATGAGTTGAATAGAAACCTTGCATTATGGAAATGAGAAACTAATTGGAAATTAATTGTTAAAGAGTCCCAGAAAAGGAGTCCAAGCTAAGAATCCATTCTAATTCAAATTAGAATGAGCCAACAGAGAATATGTTTCGTGACAATGAACATGATTTCAATCATTCTTAATTTGAAAATTTCCATTAGTTAGCTCTATCAGCCCTTAATTTCTCTATTAATGCTTGAAGCTTTTAATGGACTCTTCACTCTTTCTTTTATAGTCAGACATACAGCTTAATCAATATTCAACTCGCTTTTTTCCTCCTTCAATCTCATGGATTGGTGTTCTATTCCACTTTGATCTAGGGTGGGTTTAAGGGGCTCTTTGAAGTTGGCTTTGCTAACCGCCACATCCGACTTGTGTTTCCATCGATCTCCCTTACCCTCTTATTTGTTACTGTGTTTCGGGGGTTCAAAGCTTGCTCTTCAGAGCATTCACAGAGGGGTAGGGGCACCATGCGTGGATGCTGAAGAGATGGATGCTAGTCTACTTTTCCTCTGGATACTAAGAGGATTTGAAAGGCAAAAAAGATCTCAGGATGTCAATTTTGTAATAGCAAAGTGTAAACAACAAATGATTAAAAAACGAGGGGCAGGAAAAACTAACCTTAGATAAGTGAACATAATTACTTGCTTTGAAAAAAAACGTTGCTCCAACCTCAAATAGATGGGAAAGCCAGTAGATTAGCCTTCTTGTTTCTTATGCACATGCCAGGTCTAATAATAAATGTTTGTCCCATTGCCACTGAATGAGCATGCACCCTCTGGCTGTGGTAATAATGATATACTACAAAATCTTTCTAATTCTGGTGGAGAGTCCGACTGGTTAGCCTTTCTGAAGACATCAAGATGACATGTTGTCTCTATACAACATCAGAAAACAAACTTGTTATTTCAAATTTGTATTTCTTTGAAATAACAACATTCAAGCCTGGAATTTCCAGTCAACATATTATCATATTATCTATTGATTGATGATTCAGTGAAGAATCAACATAATTAGTTGATTATCATTAAAAAGCAGTAATATTACCATTTGCTGACATCTCTATATCCTCCAGCTAATCTTATTTATGTTAATTGTGACAAAGTTAACGTATAAATAACTGCTTTTATTTGTTTTGTCTCTGTCCTCTAGCAAAATGATGGTCAGTTCACGGTGATCCAGTTAGTGGGAATGATGCGTGGGATTTCAGCTGGGATGAAATATCTCTCAGAAATGAACTACGTCCACCGTGACCTGGCTGCACGAAACATTCTGGTCAACAGCAACCTGGTGTGTAAAGTGTCTGACTTTGGCCTGTCGCGCTACCTACAGGATGACACCTCTGATCCCAGCTACACCAGCTCTCTAGTGAGTACTTGTATGTTTAACTTTATTTCAAGGGCCATAGGTAACATTTTCGTTTTTACTAATCTCGTTTTTATCTGCATGCAATGTATCTTTTAAGTGTCCAGTCAATTTGTTATTGACATTTACAACAATCGAAACCTGTCAGTCTCATAATCATTCTTGCTTCCATGACGTTGTCTCATTCTTTTTGAAGGTCTCGGCAACCTTTCACCTTTTCAGTGCCTTTCATTTTATATTAGCTGTCTGTCTTCCTCATCATCCTTCCCCCTCTTTCCTATACTCTGCAAGTCACGGACCAGAGGTCTGTCACATCTTCATTAGTGTGGAGACAAGCCTCCTCTGGGAAGGCTCCTCTCTCGTTGACATGCCCAGAGTGCAGAGAAACCAAAGGGCATTGCGGCCTCTCAAATTGACAGCTACCACCCCCTCTCTCTCTCCCTCCCTTCTCTCTCTCTCCCTCCTCATTCATTATTACTCGGGCATCATGGGAGGCTTTGGCTCCTCATTAACTCCTCCACACTACAGATCTGTAATTATTAGCAGCCATCGTTAGTTCATCTTCTGCCTCTCCTCTTCCTAATTCAAAACACACTCCTACACCCTCGCAAACACACAGCACAGGTCATTAGGACTCCCGGCATGCCCGAGTTCGTGCGAGTGTTTTTTCTTTTTTATGTCTGTGTGTGTGTGTGTGCGAGCATATAATGATGATGTGTATCTGTGTGTGCAGGCCCATGAGCATGGGTCTGGTATCATCTCATTGGCTCTGCTTTGATACTTTGGTGAATAAAGTAGCTTGTTTTACTGTCAATATATCATATGTGTTGGTACATTTTGATGACAGCAAGGTCTTTTGTAAGCAAAACTGGTCAACATGGAAAAAGAGCATGGTTCAATACTATTATACCTAAAGGTATATATATATACTGTATATATATATATATATATATTTGTTACATACCACTTACATTGTATGTTAAATATACATACTATATAAATATGCTTACAAAAGCCATACATTTCTGCCATACACTGTTATTTTGCAAGTCACTGAACCAACCATGTCCTGCATTTTACCTTTCCTCCTCTTATTTTGGGTCAGCAGCCCCCGCTGACTCTACACAACCTATTCTACCAGTCTTGCCTCGGAGTAGAAATCTTTCTGAAAATGATTTATTGTATACGCTGTGAATTTACAGCATTGAAGTAGTACTGTATCTATTATGAATAAATATGAGTATATTATGCTCTAAAAAGGAGCCTATTCTAAAATTAGTTTCAGTGTTATTTCAACACATGCAAAACTTGAGATCAAAAGTATACAGTGAAATAGCCTGTGAGTCACTGCTACACAGGTACAAAAAGAGAGTACTCAAAAGAATTTGTCTTCATCAAAATGTTGGTGAACAAACAAAACACACAAAGTACTTTACTTCTATTTTATTTCCTTCTAATGTGGCTGAGGTTAAGCAGCAAAGAAGGTTATGATATTGTTAACCTATAAGCACAGGCAGAGTCCTCTACTGGACTCTGGGTAATACTCTTCTCCAATCACAAGCCTTCATTCGTCCACTGAAATTTGGCTGGCAGTTCCCACTGTAGGAAGCAGGCACCCATTAGTGGGTGTTGCCTTCTGATCCCCTTCAAGAACTGCTTCAAGACAAGGTGGCCACAGACCAGTTGGCTGGAAAAAGAAAGAATATACCTAACTGCTTAGGACAGGGGATCTAGCCTCCTTTCCTTGCACCAACGTTGGAACCTTGACCACATTGCCTTGTACAGGCTATTGTGGATCCCGTTCTTGCTGCTTTGATGGTCTGCACAACCTGTATAGACAGTCCAGCCCTCCTCAGCTTTTCCCTCTCAGGTGCCAAGCCTGGAGAAGATGGCCCAGGTTGGACAACAGGCCTATCGCACCTGCGTCCTGAGACAGAGCCACCCAGAACTGGTCCAGGGCTGGGCTGCCATCATCTGAGTCATTTCTGCCTAACACGGCGGCGAGCAGCAACTTGGGGCTACCAGACTGCCTCACTCTCTCCAACAGGAGATTGATGAGTCGGAGCAGCGTAAAGCAGCTTTGTTGGGCTTGGCACTTGTGCGAAGTGCCATGCAGGGAACCATAGCGGGTGGTGGGTGTTGCGTTGGTTGTTGAACATATCCACTTCTGCAATCCCAAACTATGTCCAAATCTGCTTTTCCACCTTTGGGTGAAGCCTCCACTTCTCTGGTTGTGTTTTTTCTCTTTGCGCCCCTGTTCTCTTGTCCCAGAACGTGGAGAACCTTCAGAGACAACAAGTTATCTAAGACCCACAACCACAGGCTCACCACTTTCCCCAAAAGGGCAGTGACAGACTGAGCTCCGCCCTGCCTGTTGATGTAGGCCACCCTGGTGCTGTTGTTTGTCATCACCATCACTTTCTTTTTGCCCACTTGCTTCAGGGGTCTGAAGTGGTGGAAGACCAAGAACACTGCCAGTAGCTCGAGGAGGTTTGTGTGTCGGTCCACACACCATCACCGCTCTCCCCAGCCAAGATGGGGCTGTAAAACCATGGCAGAGAATGCTCACCGGCTTCGGTGGAAGCAGCGTAGACTGCTGTAGGTAAACACGTCCTGCTGCAGTGGTCATCACTAGCGGGAAGACAAGAAAGAGAAATGTCGGTTGTGGACTTTCACTGGATGCTGATGTACCGGACACCGAGATATTGACGTCATCATTATCAACAAACTAGGGTGGTGTCTCAGCAGGGATGACCGGAGGCAGTGGCAGAGCATTGGTGGCTGGAGTAGGGACCTAGACGGTATCGATCTCCAGCTTGCTCTCATTACATCAAAGCATCACATTCAGCAGAGGTGATCCAACCTCTGCTGGCATCGAATCTTGGGCAGCGAGGTTCTTAAAGCGTTAACTCTATCGGTGGAGATGAGCAGTCAGTAGCGAATGTATAATTGTGATTGGAGGAGAGTACAACCCATAGATTCCAGCATAGGTTATATGCAAAAACACAAATGCACAGCAAAACAGTGTAAGCAATTGGCAGGTGGTAGCCCAGGGGTGAACAAGAAGTGTCATAAGGGCCAGAGGAGACATGACTTCACATTGGTGTGGCTAGGAGCTAATCGCTCCCAGGAATAGCTTGCTTTGTATCCTTGACCTCTCTGGGTAAACCTTGCTGAATGGGTCGTATTTAGCAACAAAGAGGAGTAGCTCCCTGTTGTCTGCGCTGCTGAGCTTGCTAATAAAACAAGGTGTAAAAGGTGTGGATTGGATCATAGATTGCATTCCGCATTTTGATGTTGTTTAATGCAAACAAAGTCTCCTTGAGGGCATTATCTGGAGAGTCAATAGAACAGTTGATGTTTGAAGTCGGAACCTAGGGAGCTCTACGTTATGATGGTAACACACTCAGTTTTTTTCTTTTACCGATAGAGATTTTAAAACAAGCACATCAAAGCTTTGGCTGTGCTTCACTTTCATACTGAGTGCTGCCTTATTATAATAAGCATCCAGATGAAACCTTCAGTGCTATTTTGGTTCCTTCCAAATCGAAAGAGCAGTTTCATTCAAATCAAATAACCAGAGTCCGTTAATATGCTTGTTAAAGGCTTCAAGAGAACTAAATAGTGACCATCTAATATGACGACAATATGATAATATGAAGAGCTGACGTTGCCACAGACTTTCATTTCACCTGTCCTCCTAAACCTTAATCCCCTGTATTCAGGGGAACATGCAAACAAGTGTGTGTGTGGGTGGGGGGTGAGCGTCCACAGAGTCCTCCACATGGTCCTATACTGTAATTAAGCTATGCATGGTGCCCTTCACTCCTTGACTTCTTCAGCTATGACCTGACGCTAACCAATCAGTGAGCAAGGCTGGCGTGGCAGACAAGGCCAGGGAATCTGGAAAATTAAATTGCTGACATGCAGTGATTTACATCCCCATCGACCTCCTCCTCCAGCAAATTAATCACCTCTTTCCCTCCACTGCTTTTCTAATTTTCCCTGCAATTCAAGGCACACCAATTACAGTGCCTGTGGTGTGATGCTGGATGTATGGTTAGGGGGACATGCTGGTAATTTTGTTAACCCTGGATGTAGGTTCACTCTGGAGTATTTCTTTTGGAGGTTTCAGAGAGAAGGGGTCTCTCCTCTCTCTCTGTTGGCTGCTAACCAAAGTCGTGATTAATTAGGCTAACAGGACAACGCTTGGACTGCAATGGTATTGCTTCGGTGATATATGCTAATTAATTGAAAGACTTTAAAGACTGCGTTTCCTTGCAGCGGTGGCTTTTCCGTATACTTGCATCACTGCATGATTACATGGTTGCATCGTTTAAGAAGTTACCCATAGGAGCATGATCACAATTCCAGGTGAGATGTGAGTGACCCTGCTTATCTGACAAAGAAGAGGATTGATTTCTAAACACCCGGCGAACCGAGAAGACTTTCACATTACTCTCTCTATTCAACAATCCATCTGTCTAAGGAGCCATCCATCAATGCATCCATTTTCCTCCAGCTGTCCCCTTCTTTCCCATTTCAAGGCTTTTCCCGCAACACAAAGGCACATCAGAGCAGCATACTCAGTGTAGATGTGACGAATGATGCTGTTTGCGGTGGTGATGCATCATATGTTTTGTTTGTGTTTGGCGGTCATGGGTGAGTGAAAGACAGAGAACTGGGCATAGCCACTGGGGTTTAGTGTTAGTTTGTGGCTAAGATGAAAGAGCAAACGAGCAATATGAAATTTGTGTGTGGGGATATGTTTCCAAAATCTGGCAGGTGAGAGTAGTGTGTCAAGTCTATCACAGCTTAGCCACAGGAGCAGAGTGAGGAAGACAGGTATGGGTCAGGAATTTCTGCTTATGCCTCAACTAACAATTTGAGACGTCTGTCACTGCTTTGCATGTCACGCGATGTGTACTGTACATTGTGACTGAATGGACATCTATGGGGCTCTGTGTATGTGTTTTTAGATGTGTGTGTGTGTGTGTGTGTGT